TGTGTCTGTGTGTGTGTGTGTGTGTGTGTGTGTGTGTGTGTGTGTGTGTGTACATGTATATGCGTGTAATTGTTGCAATATGGCAAAGGAAATGTGGAATTGCGTGCGTTTTTCATATTAAAAAGCCTATTTGTTAACAATAATTATATAAATTCACGAAAATGATATATTGTCTGCAGATCGAAGAATTTTGGAATATGTCTCCTTTACATAACATATCATAATGCGACCCGCTGCAGTTTGTAATAAAAATCGATAAAATGCAGAATCACATTGCGACTAAATTTTTGATAAATTTTTCTTTTATTCTTTTTTACGCTTCAATTTTATTTCTAATATATATCGCGCAATTAAAAAATTTGTCTCTGAATGTCTAGAAAATATAATTAAAATATTGCATCTCTCATAAGAGATTATTACTTATTTAAAAAAAATGAATCTTAAAAACATTTCTGAAAATTCTGAAATTGCAATCTTTTTTATTGCTTTTTGTCATGTTATATTCTCACGTGATTCTGATTTATCCATTTTATTTAGTATTTTACAAAAAGATGACTTAATTTAAAAATTTTCAAGACGTACGAGGTAAACATTTTCAACTCTTTCTTTCTCGCTACGTCTAAAAACTGTGAAAGTATTAATTTGCTCTATCATAAGTCTATTTAATTAAGTACAAAAGAGTTTTTATTCCCAACATTTTTCTACTTTTTTTCCAGTATGAAGCATATATATATATATATAATGTATATGTGTATATATATATATATATATATATATATATATATATATATATATATAATGTGTAATTAATCTGTATATGATACATAAACATGATGACTCTGTGTATAGCATATTCAATTGATTTCTTTATGTAACTAAAGTGTATGCTTGCTATTCAAGAGAAATTGCTTACATTTTGAACAAATAAGTTAGACTATCAAGCACTTCCTCTCTTTTTCTCTCGATCCTCTAAAATTTATTCTTATTTATATGAAATATCGCGATTCTATATCTATATCTCTTTGATATATCAACCAAAAAAAAGGAAAACTAATGGTCGAATATTAATATTTACATAACTGACGTAATACGAACGATACAATTCGATTATATAAAACTACAGCCATTATTGATTAGAGTAAGTGTATACCCTTAAGCCAGTACATGGATGATAATAGTTCTATGTATTCGCCCTGTTCGTATTGTCCCTATACATGAACATTGACGACGTTATCAGACACATACTTGAGCAGTTCGTTACTACCGATGTGTTGTAACAAATATGTGTCTTTTGAAAATCTATATCCCGTAATCGATGCTTTATCAACTGTTAGAACTGTTAGAACTGAAAGAAACGAAAGTATCAAAAGCTAAGATCCGTCGGGGAAGATTCAGCAATCAAACTGATTCATATATACTTTTGTATGCTGAATCTTTCTTTTCACCGTCTAATCTATCTTAAAAAATAGCATCTAGCTGATTCGCATCGCGCGCGTTAGCTTTTGATACAATCTGCATCTTGAATATATCATTTAAGAACATTATCCTGAGAGTTCAGAATGCGATCAAGATGGTTTAATCTGTGATGGAGATCTGAGCAAATCCTATTAATGCCTTATCATCTGGTATTTCGTTCACTGCATAACCAGAATTCTGTAACAGTAAAAAGAGACATTATAATTCAACAATCAAATTACAAAAATATATATTGTATGTTAAATATATTACGATATATACTTAACATTTAATAATTAAATATTAAATCTAATATTTACCAAGGAAAATGTTACTGTCCGTAGTTGTCCTCCACTCTCTATCAATTTTTTCAGATTCGTCTCTATCACCACAACATCTTTACCATCGACCAAGCCCGCAGCGACTAATTCCGCGGCGATTCCTTGTGCAGAATCCACCCCGACGGTAAATTCAAACCTAATGTCGTTAAGCTCCCGTCTTTCATTCCTGAGAAATATTTTAAATAATTATTTTTTGCTTCTTTTTAACATAACGATAATTTTCTTTAAAAAATAAATTCAAAATATCTATAAAAATTATATACTGAGAAAATGGTCCTTATCTAAATTCTATAATAATAAGGATTTTACGTACCGTAATCTAAGCACCAAGTTTATAGGAACATTTAGCCCAGTAGATGGTATCGCCATTTGACTCGGTGATATCTTGATTTGACCGTAGTATTCGTCAGATTCACCGGCTTCTTCGTCGCTGCTAGCTTTCTCGATTGTATTAACTGGTAACGTCTCTTTACCTTCATCGCTGCTTGAATCACCATTATTCTCTTCTTCTGACCAAACCCATTCTCCGGTTACAGTTCGATGCAAACGACCCGACGTGCCAGGTTGTCTTTTTGATGCCTGAAGGAACAATAAATTTCTATATTTTTTTAAGAATTAACATTTTCTCAACCTTAAGTCGCATAAAAAAATCAATAAAAAATATACAAATTTGTATACATATATAATATTGCATACCTTTTGTACACGTGTTTCTAAACTGGGTCCAATCGCCACTAACGTCTGTTGTAAATATTTCTTATCTTTGGCTTTCTTGAAAAAGGGATGTTTCAACAACTCAGTAGCCGTTGGTCTGAAATAATACAAATCATTATTTAATAGTAATCATTTTTATATTTTATTGTCATACATATTCCCCTTTCTTCCTTTTTTAGTTTTTTCATTAAAAAATTCATATTATAAATTTTCAAGACATCTATTTCAAGTTCATTAAATATAGTGTTTTATCCATTTACTCCAATTATTCTAATTACTTGAACAAACATCAAATAGAGATCACGACAACTTACCTCTTGGTAGGATCTTTCTGTAAACAATCGACGATCATTTTCCGGAATGTTTTCCCGTATGCTTTATATTGGTCTTTGTCGTCCGCAGCAGTGTCCAGAGTTGGCGGATCATTCTGCAGCGTCAACATCAAGACCTTCATAGGGGGATATTTGTGATACGGCGCCGTGCCGCTGGCCATCTCGATCGCCGTGATGCCAAGTGACCATATATCAGCCTTAAAATCGTAGCCATGGTCCTGCACAAACAGATATGACTATTATAATTGACTTTACAGCAAACGATATGTGATGGAGAGATTGCCAATATCTCATGAAATCGTGCTTGCTGAAATTGCATGCTTGCCAAAATCTTCTGAATGTGATTTATAACTGCAGTCTGCATACACAAGGTAGCTCATCATTATGCAAAGTATATTGTTGTGTATTTTTCATGAATTTTCTGATTCCTTTTATCACAGATCTTGAACTTTATTTTGCTAAATATTGTTGCTTAAAGCTTTCAAAAAGTATCATTAACCATATATCTAATTTAACAAAAATCGAATCAAAAGATATACGATTGAGCTGTATGCAAAATTTTTGTATAGACAAATGTATGAGAAATGTATGACTGATGTCTCAACGAAATATAACAAATAGGTATATAACGAACAGACATGAAACAGAAATATAGAATAAAGTAGAATAATGGCGTGATTAAATATTATTGAAAGACTATTTCGTGAGAAAATCTGCAAGATGTGATGTTTTCTCAGTGCAGTATTCTATGTGGCTACTTGCATAACATGCCTAACGCAGATCATGCTCAACAAAATAATGTGATTGCTAATAAAAATTAACCGATTGATTCGGTTTAACGAAATAAAAGCATTTTCTCATATCGCACGCAATGACAAAACCGACACTGGCGCGTAGAAGCCACGTGTGTCGTCTCAATGATAGCAGAAGCGTGTTTTGCCAGTCGCAAACGTACACATTTCCTGTACCGATAAAGTGTACATTTAACAAACGCATACATAAAATGTAGACACAGAGAACACGCAGGCTAAGAAGTCTGTAGTGTTACTTTCCTCTCTCACCTGCTCCATGACCTCGGGCGCCATCCAACACGGCGTACCGACAAAGGTGTGCCGGACCTTCTGCCGGCTCAGATCGCGTCCGGTCGCGAGCCACGCGCTGACACCGAAATCGGCGATCTGCACTGTGCCATCCTCGCCTAGTAGGATATTACCCGCTTTTATGTCCCTAATATTATTCTACCGTTAAAATTCGTCTAAATATGTAGATAATAAGGTAACTAATTGAGATTTTTTTTTAATAGTATAGTTTTATTCTAATTATCGAACGATAAAATAGATTGAGGAAAAAGGAAACGCGCGTTCCAAGATTTATTATTCATAAAAACAAACCGACAATCCGTAAGGCACAGACGTGTTTCACGATACCTGTGAATTTGTCCATTGCTATGGAAATATTCAAGCCCTTTGAGTACTTCTCGAAGTACCGTAGCTATGGTGGCCTCATCGAATACTCCATGCTTGCAATTGGTGGTCCTAGTTTTATGCTTGATGATATCGAGCAGGGATCCACCCTCGAGCAGTCTCAGGACTAGCCAGAGTTCCTCCTTCACCACGAACGACGTGTAATACGTCACGACGTTTTCGTGATTGCAAGAAGACATCGCCTGTATTTCTTTCTAATGTTTCATCACATAAAAGATTTCGATTAATAATATAATAATAATAATAATAATAATAATAATAATAATGACAATAAAAATTTTTTGTTTATATATTAAACAAGATGTACGACTTTGTCATTTATTTAAAAGATTTATCCGAAAATAAATTTATCTCGAGACTTTTGGAATTTTATATAAGATAAGAATAATTAGCAGCACCATTACGCTTATTATGGAACATTTGCATCACATGGATGCTAATAACGTATGCTGGATGCAGCATACGTTATAATCGATAAGATCGTTAATCAGATGAATCATACGACACACAAAGGCCTTATCAAGAGGCGTTACGTGTATTATATTGATCCGTCGTCAAGTCCAATGTCAAGATTACAAAAAAAAACTCACCAGTAGCTCGTCCATGTTCGTGTTCCATTTTTCTAGATTTATTCGTTTGATCGCGCATTTCTCCTGTCGCGGAATGCAAAACGCTGCGTGCACCACGGCGGTTGCGCCAACCCCTGGAATGTAATAAAAAGAAATTATCGAGAGAAGTTTCACGAAGATCTGTAATTGCGAAACCCACTTAATTAAACCACGGCGAGATCGGAAAACTCGACTACTAGAGGTCTATTTATAAATATGCGACGAATATATCTCGTAGGAGCCGAGTAACGAGGGACGCTTAAATTTCAAGGGGCATCGATAGAGATATTTTTACTCGTTACGTGGATAATTTGAAAATTTTTAATCGAAAATATCGGCAGATTTTCCGCATGCGGTGACTCCGCGGCAACTCGACCAGAAACGACCGAAACGACCGGACGTCAGCAAGTCGCTAAATAATTTGCTCTGCTAACAAAACTTGCAGCTGGTCTCTTTATAAATACAATACGCGACCGGTGTTTCACAGTGGAAAACGCGTATTTTCTCGGTTTTGAAACTGCGATATAAATCCTATCATTTGGTAGCGTAGCACCCTATATACTTCGAGTATCTAATGCTACGCTAGTGGATAACACAAGCCTGCCCCACCGCATCAAAATACTATTACTTATTACTATAATAAGATAAATGCAAAGCTCTATTGCGAGGCTCCTGAATAATCGAAACGGATACACGCATTTTTCGCAAATAAAATTCTCCAATATTTACGGCCTATTATTCATTTTTAACATTAGTTTTCATCTCAATTTAGTTTATTCTTTATCTTTTTTTTTAATTCTTAGAATTAAAAAAAAGATTAAAAAAAGATTAAAAAAAGATTAAAAATAAGTTAAATCGAGATTAAAGAAATAGCATTAAAGTTAAATTACATACATACAAAAGAATACACTCAATGAATAAACGTAAACGTTACTTTAGCTTCAAATAAATTTATTCTTCAATTTATATTAGGATTAATTCTGACGATCAATTTTTTTATCTTGCTTTTGTATTATTTCGTGCGTGTGCGCGGACGTGTTCATGTGTAGTAATAGCATAATTAATAATATAATTAAATAATAGTATAATTAAAGCTAAAGTAATGTTATTAAAGTTAAAGTAACATTTATATTCATTCATTGAGTGTATTCTTTTGTAATTTCATGGAAAAAAATCTCCAACTATATATCACATTAGATCTATTTTTTTGCAGTTGAACTAGTGTACATTTGTATTTATAAAAGATATTTGTTCGAGGTTTGATGAAAGCGAGAAAGAAAATTTTAGTATGATCGAATATGGTAATAATGAACGAGCCTATTGCCTCGCAAATTCAGTTCGATTTGCGCCGGTGTTCCCTATTACCCCCTCCTCATCTCAGAGCGCGCATACGGCCCTGGCACGCGCGCACCATCCCGTCCTCCTGGCAGGTTAACTAGGTTAGGACAGGACGTATCTCGTGCAGCAGCACCGACAGCGTACGACGTAACAGCGCGAGTGCGAAAAGGACACGCAGAAATACGAGTGAGACAACATCCAGTGAGTCGCCGTCGTCGACGTCCCGTCCCGTCCCGAACGAGGAAATTGACAGGACGATGGAACGCTCGAGTCACAGTGACGCGATAACGAGCGACGACGAACTCCTTTGAATTTTGCCGACGTCACTGTCATTATCATCCTCGTTTCCGTCATTGACGCGGCACCGCCGTTATCGGGAAGCGGAAGGCCGCCAGCCGCTCGCTATCGAGAACGTCGCGCCGGCGGCGCGCGTCTCCATGGCCGCGGACGGCGTCGAGCGAGACGCGCGGGCGCGCGCGCGATCATCCGCGTGTCCGCACCGCACGATCGTCACCGCGGCCGGAGGAGTCTCGCACGGCGATCGGTACTCACCGATAACCTCCTTCAGCTCGTAGTCGTCCTTGGTATTCGGCCAGCCCTGCACGACCGTGGAGGTGCTCGCGGACGCCATTTTGCTGGCCAGTGCCGGGCCGAGGCGCGCGTGCTTACTGGCTACTCGGGCGCCCCGCGACAGTGACAACGGAGCGGTATTGCCGGTCCGCGAGCTACCGTCACGTGGTGGAGCGACGGCGGGGTTGAGGGCGGAAGTGGAGGTGGTGGTAGTAGTAGCAGCGGTGACGGCAGCGGCGGGGGTGGCCGCGTTGCGAGGAGTGCAACGATCGTTCGTCGCAGACGCAGGTGCGCCTCGGCTGTTCCGGGTGGATAGTGACGTCGATGTTGCCGATGTCGCTGGCACCTTCGGCGGCGGCGGCGGCGGCGGCGTCGACGAGCGGAAGGACTTCTGGCGGAAAACGCCGGGCGAACAGGACGGCAGCACGTCCGGGGAGATTTTCCTGAAAGGAAACATGTGGTTGACGTCGCTTGAAAAATTTAAATAACTTGATGAATTTAACTCTATTGGCTCATATTCTGCATCTTCTTTCATCGATACAAGTGCCTTTAAAAATGGCTCAACCAATCAAAAGGCTTATAAGTCACTTTTAAAGAGGATACAGAATATGAGCTTATCCTAAAGGCTGAGATCTGACGACTCCGCTTTTCACAAATCTCTGTATCTTAAAATCAGTATTAATATGGAATTTTATTAATTTCTTTTTTATAGAATTTGATTAGTTTAGTTTCTGAATATTCAACTTTTTAAATGTTCACGTAGATATCTAGAATATTAGACCGAATATCATTTGATTCCTTTGTGAAATATTAGATTACTTGCCAGATTAAAGATCGAAAGGATTTACTCTTTTTTTTTATTATTATATTAAAATTTGATTGATTTGATCAAAGTTATTTTTTTACTTTAAGTTTAAAACTTTAAATTCGTTGTTACAAGGCAAAAACGATGCCTGAAAGTGCTTATTTCAAAATTAATGCAAATTAAAGAACTTTAACTTTTGCTTTTTCGTACAACAAATTTAAAGTTAAATTTTATGTCTCGCTTAAATATCTCGTCAAAATATCGTTGGTGCAACCAAGCCTTAAAAGAAAATAGGGAGGAAACTAAATCGACTTTAGGCGCGAGTACATAAGAGTAACGACAGAAACGTGCTTATCCGAGTTCATTAAGTCGCGGGTCTCATCAGAAGAAATGCGTCCGCTGATAATCAGCCCGCGTCTCGATTCATTGAAACGATTGACGTTTCCCAGAGAAACAGGACGATGATGAGCCGCGCGATCCGGCCCGTATGCACAACAAATTAATCTTCGGTCCATCCATCAACATTCCCGTTACGATCGTCCCGCGGCGGCGCTTCTAATTATTAAACAGCGTGAACAACGATCAGCGACGCCGATCGCTTTAATTGGCCCGAAAGATAAAGCCGCCTCCACCGGCCGCCTCCTCAGCGATATCCGCGATACGCACAACGGTTGAACCGAGGAAATTAGAGTCTATCCTTGCGTCTCTGAAATTTATTCTCGCTCGATCGCCCGTGTAAAGAACAATTTAAATGATGACAGCGACATGATCATTAAAGTCACGCGGCACAATACTTCAGAAGTGGCGAAGACAATAAATCTTATTCAGACGCGCCTGAGTCCCGTGATTTCCCGTTTGCGAGCGTGTCTTTCTGAAATGCGCTAATCTCATGTGTACGCAGAATCGTCATCATTATCTCTAATCGACAAGAGCGACGAGAGTCCGGGGGTTTCGCGTTCCCATCGATACGACGATATCTCTCTCTCTCTCTCTCTCC